TGTTATACTATATGAGCGTGCGTTTAGTAGTAGTATTAGGTTATTTAGATTAGGTAGGATTAAAATACAGCGAGCGTGCGGTTAGAGTTTGATACGACTAGTCCCGAAAATAATAAAATTTCCAAAATTGTCATTCGAAAAATACACCTTCAAACCTCCAATGAGATCAAATCAATCGATTAATGAAAAAAAATTTTTATTCTAAATTTCATTTACCCACGGAAAATTTAATACAGTTTATATCAATGATTATTAATATGTATAAGAAAAATTACTATTCAAACAAGAAAAGTTACTATTCAAACAAGAAACATTACTACTCATAATATAAAAATTACTGTAATAAATGGGAAATTTTGATAGAATTCAAAAGAATAAATTTTTCCTACATTGAATAGTAAAAATTACTAAAATGTGTCGATGTCACCTCTTTACTAGATATTATAGTAATTTTTACTGTGAATTCTAACAATATTTATTATATTTTTTTCTCCGTGTAAGATTCAGTTGTAGAGTAGTTTTTTCGTCCCAACAGTCGAGGAAGGGCACGCTCATTTTTCAAAATGGTCTTGAAAAAATTTCGAAACAAATCACAGGTATGCTTTGGACAGTTTGAAAAAATTTTGTTTACGTTCGAATCTGTTTCTTTTAGAAATTAAAAATCACGATAAAATGTGATGAAAAACGTGTCTAAAAAATTCAGGTTAAAAACCATCATATTTTGATTTTTAAGTTTCTTTTCCGTAGTAACAATTTTCTAAAATGATCAAATCCTTTTGGAGTATTTATTTTTAAAACTTTCAACTATTTCCAACAAAAAGGCTCTCCAGCACTTTTCTCCATTATCAAACATTAAATCATATATTGATTTTCATATATTACTAACTTATATATTTGGGTCAAAATAATACTTTTTTACAAAACCGTGCGCACGTATGTCACCGATCTTGACGCGCTTTTGGTATGTTATAGTACATGGTAAAAAGGTTCCAAAAAAAAATGTTTAGCCCCCTCCCCCCTCCTACCCCCCACTTCCGGTATAAACGTCCATTTTTGATCTATATTTTTTCTGAGGACATGAAGCAATTAAAAAATCTGAAAAAATTCACAAAAATACTTTTCAACAATCCAAACAACCTTGAATTTTTTCATATTTTTTAAGTGCTTCAGGCCTTCAGAAAAAATCATTGAAAATTTTGAAAATCGAGATACGGCGATATGAGCCGATATAGTAAACGGAAATTTTTTCAGTTTCTTATTACATTGAAAAACATAACCTCAATTTTTTTCAGATTTTTTCAGATGACCTAACGCACCTTTTGAAGCCAAAAACCGCTTTTTTTGACGAAAATAATTTTTTTAGGACGGTACGGAGCCTCGAAAAATGTGGAAAAATTTTTTTCTTGTTTTTTTCATCAAAATACATAACCTCAAATTTTTTCAGATTTTTTAATTGAAGGCGAGAGCTTCTACAGCCGAAAAATGCTATTTTTAACAAAAAAAAGGTTCCTAGAACCCGATGGTTCCGGTGAAAAAATTTGAAAAAATTTTTTTTGAATTTCTTGTCAAATTTTAATAAATTTTGACCCTTTCAAAAGTTCGATTGGAGCTTCCTAGCTCAATCTAGAGCAGGACAAAGATTAATGCAAATTTCTGAAGACGGTTTCTGAAGACATTAAGAAACGATAAAACTATTTTGATGCTCTAGATTGAGCTAGGAGGCTTCGATCGGAATTCTGAAACGGTCAAAATTTATTAAAATTTGTCAAGGAATCCAAAAAAAATATTTTCAAATTTTTTTACCGGAACCATCGGGTTCTAGGAACCTTTTTTTGTTAAAAATAGCATTTTTCGGCCCTAGAAGCTATGGTCTTCAATTAAAAAATCTGAAAAAATTTGAGGTTATGTACTTTGATGAAAAAATCAAGAAAAAATTTTTTCCAGATTTTTCGAGGCTCCGTATCATCTTAAAAAAATTATTTTCGTCAAAAAAAGCGGTTTTTGGCTTTAAAAGGTGCGTTAGGTCATCTGAAAAAATCTGAAAAAAATTGAGGAATGTTTTTCAATGCGATAAAAAACTGAAAAAATTTCCGTTTACTATATCGGCTCATATCGCCGTATCTCGATTTTTAAAATTTTTAATGATTTTATCTGAAGGCCTGAAGCACTCAAAAAATCTGAAAAAATTCAAGGTTGTTTGGATTGTTGAAAAGTATTTTTGTGAATTTTTTCAGATTTTTTAATAGCTCCAAGTCCTCAGAAAAAATATAGATCGAAAATGGACGTTTATACCGGAAGTGGGGGGTAGGAGGGGGGAGGGGGTCTAAAATTTTGGTTTTGGGTCTTTTTTACCATGTACTATAACATACCAAAAACTCGTCAAGATCGGTGACATACGAGCGCAGGTTTATTTAAAAAATTCTGAGCCTTACCCTTATATATAATAAAAGCAAGTGATGGAAAGCGAAGAGGACACGATTAGGTATTATATTTTTTACACAGAGCTTTTTCGTGAAGAAAGTAATATAATCGTCGGAAAATAAATTGGAAATTATACATACGGATAAAATTTGCGAGAGATAAAAATGAAACCTTTTATTAAATTTTAAACATGACAGAGAAAAGAGCATTGTACCTCGCGTATTATGCATCTCTCTTTCAATCTCTCTCTCAGGAGCACTCGAGAATCATCGCGGAAAGCGCAAAGAGACGTGTATATCAACGAGTGATAAAAAGCTCGCGTGTGCCGCGAGAGACCACCTCTCAACGTGTTGCATCAAAAAAAAGTCCAAAAGCGCCGAAGACATTTACCTCGGATGGCACACAAAGCACGCGAATTATACGACTTGGCGCACTATGCGCATAATTTTCGCGCGATGCGTTTGCAAGAATACGCGTGCGAAGCGCGATATACAAGTGCTTCCTCCGCGTTCTTCTATATTTCTTAAAAGCTGCTGCAACGCAAAGGGGCCTCGTCTCGAGAATTTTCTCGTATGCAGAGTCGACGCATTAGACCTAAAAGCTCGCGGACTACTTTTTCATTTCGCCATATATGATTATTTCGTAACGCGGCACAAGATTAAAGCCCTATCTATCCTGACACTCTTATACATTCGTGATCTTGATGAGTTTCGTTAGAAAATCCCCATGTACCTGAGACGAGTCGACGAGGATGTTAGGTCAGCGCTGTATCGTGCGAGCATTATTATTAAATACATAAACGCGTGAAGAAATGTCCAAGTTTACTCGATAAATAAACTCGAGCGTTCGAGAGAGTACCCTCGGCAACGAGAGGAGAAAAAAAGAGCAAAAAGAGACATAAACGTACGCACACCGTACACACGTTCAGAGGAGAGAGAAAGAGAGAAAAGTGCGTCCGATGAAGCGCGCGCGTGCGAGAGCGAATTGTGACGTGTATCGCATATATACGCGGCCCCGACGCGCATACACGCAAGAGGACTCGATGCACGAGTGAACTCGCGCGGACTCTCGAGGCATCGTCGTCGTACGTGAGGGCCCTCCGCTGCTGTAGCTGGACGACGTATTATACATATATATGATGCAGTGTTATAATATGTGTGTACACACTTACACACATACATACATGTATAGGCTGCACATTACCGAGCTCTCTCGAGTTGGATCCACCGCCGCCGTTGCCGCGCAGACCAGTGCGTAATTTCATGGGAAACAGTAATTTGCCGGCGGGGGTTGCGGGATAAAGCGGGGGCAGAAGAGAGAGAAAGAGAGCAGGGTAATAGGTGCACATCTCGTGTCCAAGAGAGCCGTGCATGGCTATATATGTAAGAACGTCGAAAGGCGGGAATAATGGGCGGGGTAATTACCCCTGATGCCCACCACTCATTATTATATCCCCGAGATGTTTTTTTCTCTTTTACTCCTTTTACTTCTTCTTCTTCTTCTTCTTCTTCTTTTTCTTCTCGTTGTTGACGATGTTGTTGTTGTTATTGTTGTTGTTGTTGTTGTTGCTGCTGCTCTCGTCTTCTCTTCTTCTTCTTCTTCTTCTTCTCCTCTTCTTTACCTTCGTTCTTCCTTTGAGCCGCGCTTCGGGTACTTCTTTATATTTCTTGCTTGTTTTTTTTTCTGCTGCGAGATGAGAAAGCCTTCTCTCTCTCTCTCTCATTTCGAATTGCTTTCTTTTTGCTCGAGCGATCATATAATGTGTTCACTTTGCACGGAGATGTCCGTGCGCGCGCTAGTAAGGTATAGAAGAAAGAAAGAGAGAGAAAGAGAGGCCGAGAGTTGAATTTCGGTGCAGATTATTTCTGGCGTCCACTCAAATTAGCCTTGGCATTATAGAATGTGCGGCACGACGATGCGCCATAGAGTATATTATACACATTTGCAGTCTAAGCTCATTCGCGTGGAAAAGTATTCATTTCGTGAGCCCCGGAAGATATGGAGAAAAGAGCTTGTTTTTTTAATTTTTTTGATGATCCAGCCCACTTCGTTGGGAGAACGGAGGTAGAATTAATCGATCAGTCGTTTAATGTCACTTCATTACTTAAATTTTCTCATGGATTTTCCATTCGTATAATAAAATCTTCTCTCGCTCTCGTAAAATACGACGACACCTCCAAATTGGTAGCTAAAAAGGGACTAAAATAAAAGTCCCAATGGCTAAATCATTACAGGCGTAATATTTTTGGTTAAAAACGCGCATAATACACGATCCATAAGCCGATCGCGATGCACACACGTATATACACACGTGTATGATATATACGCGTCGGACAAATAACAGCCGCGCACGAAGAAGAAAGAGAAGCGCATAAGCAGTGGAGGATAATGAAAGGGCGGCGAACGCTGCTTCTCTCTCTCCCTCTCTCTGCCGCGTTGCATACATATAGTCTTATACACGAGCTGGACTCGGCTCACATATATATTTATATTATATACGTTTTAAAAATAGCAAAAGAAGAAAAAGAACTTAAATAACACATATATATTCATGTACCTTTTGTTCTGTTGTACTACAGCTGGGCCCGATGATGTCGCTGGTCAGGTCCAACTGCTCGCGGCACTTGCGCTTCTTTCTCTGCTCGGTGTTCGCGCCCGTCTGCTCGCCGCACGTGGCCATGCGCATCCCGGCCTGCAAGCCGCTCTGCCTGAGGGTGCGCGCCGACTGCGACCTGGCGCTGGCCGAGCTCGATCTGCCCTGGCCCCACATGCTCGACTGCGAACGCTTTCCCGACATAAGTAAGTACATATATTACGATCTATTCGTAAAAATATGTCTCGTTCTCGTGCGCGTCAATCAATTTTGTAATACAGCTAATATATTATAATGTGCTCGCGAGCATCGATGCGTAATTTTTGTTTCTTTCCCCGTTCAAACTAACGCGCGTTGTATTGGGCATAGAGAGCCTATTTAAAAAGGGAGGTATAAATTACTTTTGAAGAAACGCCGCCGTCGATTCATATATAATGTATAATAATACGACGCAAGAATTTTCTCGAATTACTCTTTGCATAATGCGCGCATTGAGCATTTTTTGCATACGCATACCAATATGGTATACCATTTTTTACCAAGAGCGCGTTTGTAATATCATCCCTCCCGTCTGTTCTTTTGCGACCGTCACAGGTAACACGGTATGCGTTCAGCCTCCGCCCGAGGAAACGCTCTGGCTCGACGATGAGACGCCCAGTTTGGATCAACAGCAGCAGTCGGGGGAATCGTCCGTACGCAACGACGAGGTCACCGACGACGACGTCAAGTTCCAGCAGTTGGAGCAGTGGCCGATTCTGAAGTCGGTCGAGGGTCGGTCGCGCGAGCCATTCGCGCCGCTACTGCTTCCGGCTAATTCGCCCGCGATGACGAGCGACGACGACGACGACGACGACGACGACTTGGCAGAGAGGTCGTGCCCGCTTCACTTCACCGAGATAACTTACCTCAACGAGGTACTTTAATTTTCTTACTTTTATGTTACATATTATAAATCAGCATGAAAAAATAATGTATCATAATTATTAATTCGTCATATTAGAGCACGTGCGTACCCCGTTGCGGCGAGGACGCGCACTATCGCGCCGAGGACAAGCGCTTCGTCGAGCGCTGGACCAGCGGCTGGGCCTGGCTCTGCTTCTTCTCGACCCTCTTCACCCTGCTCACTTTCTGGGTCGAGCCGGCCCGATTCCGCTATCCCGAGCGCCCCGTCGTCTTTCTCGCGCTCTGCTACAATCTGCTCGCGCTGACGTACGTAGTGCGCGGCGCCCTCGGACCCGAGAGCCTGAGCTGCGCCTGGCGCGACAACGGACCAAGCTATCTGCCCGTGAGTGACACTTTTCTTACGTAGATCTTTGATGTACAAAAATGTCGGTCAACGATATTTCATTGTCGTAATTATTTTTTACATCTCATTTATTTTTTCTGCTCAAAAAATAAAACAGGTCAACGACGGTCTGAAGAGTCTGCCGTGCGCTGCCTGGTGGCTGGCGAGCTATTACTTGAGTTTGGCCAGCAGCGTCTGGTGGGCCATCATGTGCGGCTGCTGGCTGCTGAGCGCCCGACACGAGTGGAGCAGCGAGGCGCTGCACAACATCGCCGCTTACCTACACGCCTCGGCCTGGGGACTGCCGCTCCTACTGACGATCGGTAACTTTACTTTCCGCCTCATTAGTTAATATACGTATGGTTCGCCTAGAGATCTGCTTGATTGAGAATTTAATTTTCGTAGCGAGAACTAGTTTACTGCATTTTGAAAAAATAAGGATTTAACGGTGATGAATCGATTCGTTATATTGAAATATATTAGTGATTAAAATTACAGCTCATTTTACCGCACAGAATCAAAAATATTCAATGTCAAAAATCAATAATTTAACATATTTAAGGAAGGACCATAAGCTGATGCCAAGAAATAGATAGTTTTTGAACCGTACAATAAAAATTTGGCATTTAAGAGTTTGATAAAAAACTAATAGAAGATGTATCGTACTATTTTAACCCGTTTTGGGCCAAACAGACGAAATTTCCCACATTTTTTCTGATGCTATAAAAGTTGTGAAAAAAATTTCTAAAAAATGTTTAAATAGTTATTTCGGACGTGAAATTTGAAAAAAATCGTGTTTTTTGTTGTTTAATTGTTCATAACTTTTGCTTCTCAACTTTTTTGACAATTCTGACACCGGATTCGAAAAGTTCATAAAATTTCACGTTAGAAATGACTATTTAAACATTTTTCAGATATTTTTTTCACAAAGTTTATAGCACCGGAAAAAATATGGGAAATTTCGTCCGTTTGGCCCGAAACGGATAAAAATGATTTTAAATCAAAACTGATTCGTAAATTAAAATCATTAAAATCAAAAATCAAAATTGATTCGTGAATTAAAATAGTTTTAATTCGTAAATCAATTGTATTTGTGATTCATAGTGTTTTTTAATTGATTTTTTAACAAACCCTGTTCACGACATATGATGAAAAAAAATGTTCAAAAACGTCATAACTTATAAAAAAATAACTTCATAAATTTCATAAAATATTTAAGAACAAAGGTAAAGTAAAGCTATGCCGAAACCAATTTTTAAGTGTTCTAAGATAATTTTTTTTTTCCTTGTGAGATCTACAATTTTTCCACATAATTCCAACTTGCGTTGGAATATCCTTAACCTATGGTAGAATTACTAATCAATTAAAAAAAGGAGTTAGAAATGTACTAGCATGATTGAATACATACCTTACTCGAATCGTACATAAGGGATATGTATGCCAAAAAAAAATCAACTACCAAGACAAAAATAAAAAATGTATCAAATATGTCATAACTTTTCATACTTCCTTCAATAACTCCGAGTGTAAGTAGTAGCAAAAAAAATAGAGTAGAAGTAAAATATAGTAGATAATTTTTTTATGATCATACGGAACTTACGCACATTCTCTATTGACCAGTTCTAAGCACTGTTTTCTTTGTAAATCTTTTTCAAGTTGATCATTAAAAATTCAAGGAAAATTCTAATTTTTTTACTATAATTATCTAAAAGACTGACTTCTACTTATAAGAGATAATATAATATTGTGTTGAAAAATGCATTCTATAGATATTTACCTTACTAAACAAAGCGAATACCCCAAAGCTGATAACCAACATTTTTCCAAATAGTCGAATAATTTTATTCATATCTGGAGATATAAAAATCCATTGAGTAATTTATGAAAGATAACTTATCATAGCTGGGGGCGAATAATTTTTTTCAGAAAGCAAAAGATCAACGTAGTAACTCATATTTGGGATGTCAAAAAGAATTAAACTTTTTTAAGCTAATGATAAATAAAATTTGTGAATCGCAATCATTCCAAAATATTACATTAAAAATAAAACTTAGACTGAAATTTATGACTGTACATACTGATATAACATTTTACGCTTATTAAAATTTCAATTTGAAGGTGAAGATTCCCTAAATAAAACAAAAGAATTCTATTATTCACCAATTTTTGTGACTCGCATGAGCTTTTCGTGTATTAATGATAATAGTGTAAAATTTATTATTGAAACGAAATTTTTGATTTTGGATAGTTACATATTATTGTGTGATTAGTCAAAAGTGTTCACGATGCATTTTATATAATTATATGGCCAATTATTGTCCATTACATGCTATTTTGGACTATCTATATGCAGTTAAAGTTGACCCTTAGATATTTTAGTCGTGCGTAAACACTTGTCTTATAAATTTTGAAAAAGCGACAGACCTTGCTCGGTATCACATAACAGCCGAATTATTTAAATATGTCTATTTGTGCATGATGCATGTAAAGCATTATATGAGTAAATCTCGTGAAATTTTAATATTTTGACATTATAGAAAAAAATTTCTTTTTTTAAAGTACACTCATGAAATTTTTTTTTTTTGGGAATTACAAGTGATTCAGAAACTTGAAAAAAATAATGCCCATCAAATTTGGGCCATCGAGGATTTGAAAAAGTACATGTTAAAGCTGAAGCCGATGAATCATATTTTTAAGACAATATTTGCTCCTAAAATTGGTTAAAATATTGATTTTTTGACATTTAAAAAAAACCACATATCGTCATCTCTTCCAAAATGTCGAAAACTAAAATGAGCAATATAAATCGTGCCATTTATAGTAAAACTGTTGATGTGCAACGCAAAATTCGATTAAAATGCACTGAGAATACACAATGGGCGCGGGCAAATTCTACGTTTATATCGTACATAACTTTTTTTACAAGGCACGTACACCAAAAATAGACATACCACTCGATTCTGCTAATCAAAAACTACTTTTCCCCATGATTTCGTGATGATTCATGGTGGAGCCAATTGGGATATTGGGATTTTATAAAAATATCATTAAAATACTAAAAATCGAGTTGAAGTTTTCTTAAGAGTGTAGAAGGTGCGAGTAACGACGCACACCAGTCAGTGACATTTTTTTGAAAATACAGTTTCTGAGGATTGTTTGGCGATGATTTGGATAAAAAAGCTTGATGGGCTTATCGGGAATCAGAATTCGAAAATTAAAAATAGGATGCGTTGAATTTCAAAACGCATAAAAAACGCCGTAAAACGCATTTTTTTGTATAAATTCAAGTTTGGATCCCACTGGAAGTTGTTCTCAGAAAAGAAAAAGTTGAAAACTTCACATAAACAATGCCAGGAATTGTAATTTTTAAGTTTTCACACGAATATTATGAGGTTGACACAAATATTAAAATATCACGAGATTTACTCATATATAGCGGAGCACAAACACTTGTCATTTATACAAAAATCATTAAAAACAAGAACCAATAATGATTAACAGAAAAAAGTGTACTTTGAATCCATTTTTAACATAAAACTGTGCGTAAAATTTTTCCGAATCAAACTATTGAAAATCTTCCATAATGCGATAAAAAGCCATCAAATATGACAATGTCATTCTTAAAATCTACAATTGTAAAATTTGCAATTTGAATTTTTGTCTATACGAATATAAAATTAATTCATTTACATTAAATAACTCACTGCGCTTAAAGTTGCGTAATTCATGAGGATCGTTGGGCCAGCAGTAAAAGTGCAAGGATTTGCAGTTCTGAGGATCATTAAAATGATCAAACGTCTTTCTTTCACTGAAAATAAGTACCATTTGGCGCTGTAACTGAAAGGGTATTTTGGATACAAGTATATTTTTAATCGTGGTATAGATAAATATATAATTACCAGTTCCTATTCAATTGGTCGCAGGCATTTATTATATCTTCACTCATATAAATTAAATAGAACACAATGATAGCAGCGCCTATCATTGCAAAGACCAATTTTGAAGCATATAATTTATCAAACTGGATTACAACCAGAAACTAAAAAATAACAAGACCAACCGTATTAATAAAACATTTTGCGGTAAAAAGTAAAAGGAATTTAATGTTTATAGCATTTTAATAATACTACCCAGAATCCTGCCAAACTCATCATCAAAGTTAACACAGTTATTATGATAAATAACTTTGTTTGGGCCATTCCTTGCAGAGATTTAAACAACCTGAGATATTATTTTAGTTAAATCATCATTTAATCTAATCATTTTTTGCTCTTTACTTGATATTGTAAGTAATTTATTTACTACTTTCAACATAAAAATAACTCAACTCTATTAGCTCTTGATGTAAACGAATGTTCTTGCGAATTCTCCTATTGATTATTTTCATTTTTTGTTCACTCTTATAAAGTACGGAGCTCGATTCCAATTCTTCATGCATGTTGACCATATCTAGTCTAAAATACAAATTAAGTGGATATTACACATTTTTCATACAATTGGTTCAAGTTAACGTTTACCCTATAATTGAGAACATTGCTACAATAAATTTTCCTATGTAGACTAAAAAAAAATTCATTGCATTGATTGCAATTATCATGATGGAAGCCAATATTACAGTGTAACAAAAACATATCCAATAATACTTCTCCAAAATATCAGTAAAATAAACGGGGATCATTAAGCTTCTTTTAACCGAGTTATTCACTGATATCCAATTGCTTATCGAATATTTTACAAGTGGTTCGAATGTATATACTAAAAAAATAAATGATAATAGACCTATAAAAATATTTAAAACAATCATTATTTTAGTCTTGATTCATGAGGTAGTATGGGGGTCCGTGCAAGTTTCATACAATGAATTTGATAAGAAAATTTAAAAATTTTTTCATATACTTTTTTAAAACTTTGTAAATATTAAGTTTTATATTCTCCAAATAATCGAGTAAGAAAGCACTTGTAGTTTAATTGTTAGTCTTTTTGATACTTAAAAATTGAAGTACATGATTGATCGTTAAAAAAAATGTCGAAAATGTCATAAATTGTAGAAAAATAACTTCATAAAACAAGCACTAACTAAAGTAAATTAAAGTTATAGTAAAAGCATTTTTTGTGTGTTGCAATATAATTTTTTTTTCAATGTCAGATCTGCAATTTTGCCACAGTGTCCCAATTTGAATTTGTACACCCTTAACCTATTGTAAAATTGGTATTCAGTTTAAAAAAGCAGTTATAAATGCGTTTTAATAATTTTTTTTAACACTGCGTGCGCGAAACACGGGTTTTCTAACCTTAAAGCGTCAGAAAACCCTAGTTTCTCGCA